AGTTTCTGTCTTTTAATTTACATATTTAGACTGTTTACATGTAACTATTGATATGGTTGAGGTTAAATCTACCATTTTGGTATTTATTTTCTCTGCTTCTTTTCTTATCTTTTTTTTAAAATTTAGTTCCCTGACCAGGAATCAAACTTGTGCCCTTGGCAGTGAAATTGTGGAGTCCTAACCACTGGACTGCTAGGGAATCCTCTGTGTTTATTTTCATTTTCCTGCCTTATTTCAATAACTTAATAGTTTTAGGGTTCTGTTTTGCTTACCCCGTGGCTCAGCAGATAAAGACTCCACCCACAATGCAGGAAATGTGGGTTTGATTCCTGGGTCAGGAAGATGCCCTGGAGTAGGAAATGGCAACCTACTGTAGTATTCTGCCTGAAAAATTCATGGACAGAGGAAGCCTGGTGGGCTACATTCCAAAGGGTTGCAAAGAGTTGTATGTGACTGAGCACTCACACATTTGTTTCCATGAATAGTTTATTCATTAGATTCTCTCAGCCTTTGTTTTCCTGATAAAAATCTAATTTTTCCCCCCAAGAATATTTTCTCTGTATATACATTTTCTGGTGATAGTTTTCTTTCTACACTGTCCTACAGCTTGCTTAGTTTCTGACAGGATGTCTGTGAACATTCTCATTTTTTTTTTCCTCTGTGCATATCTTTCTTTCATGTGATTTTTAAAAAAATGTTCTCTTTAATGCTTTTTTTCCCCCACAGCTTAATCATAATAGCCTTTTGTGTGATTTTCTTTATGTTCCTCTTGCTTGGGTGTCATTGAATTTCCTGGATCTGTTTGTTGATAGAATTCTTCAAATTTGGAAAATACCTGGCCATTTGTTATTCAAATATTTTTTCTGCTCACCCTTTAGACTCTAATTATATCTGTTAGACTACTTGCTATTATTCTACAGGTCACTGAGTTTCTGTTGATTTTTCCATCTTTTTAATTTTTGTGCAATATTTCATTTGGATAAGTACTATTGCTATGGCCCCAATTCATTGATTTTTCTTGTACAGGGTTTAAACTACAATTAATTGTTTCTAGTAGATTTTAAATTTAATTTTTATGATTTTCATGTCTAGATGTCACATTTGGTTCCTTTGTATATCTTCCATTTCATTTCATTGTTATGTTCACTTTTCCCTTTTGAGTAAATATATGGTAATATTTTAAGGTCTCATTCTTCTAATTCTGTTTCTGTTATTTCTGGATATGTTTCTATTGATGATACTTCTGATCATTTGTCATATCTTCCTGCCTATTTGCATATCTAATCTCTTTAATGATTGCTAAGCCTCTGATTTTGTTATTGAGTGGTAGATATTTATTTCTGTGTTCATTTAATGTTTTTATTATTTTCTGAATACAGTTAAATCACTGTGGATTAGTTTAATCATTTCACAACTTTTTTGGAAGTTTTTTTAGCTTGGGCGTGAAGAGTGAAGAAAATACTAAGATGTTACAAAAGTGGGAGAAATATTGGGTCCTAGGCACCGTGGTTATGAGAACATTCCTCTTGAAGTTAATGTTTGCTTCTCATGGAAGCATAGTTTTAAAGTCTACCCACAATCATTTATCATTCATATTTCTACCTGGGAGAATATTTATTTAAGACCTAGGGAGGCCAGCATGAATACCTTGGGGAATGGACCCAGAAGATAAAGTAGATTTTTCCCATATGACCTGCTTTTTGTTATTTTTTATGACTTTGACATAACTGGTCCTTCCTTTATTTATCTCAAAAGATACTGAAGCTATTTTTCATAGGCACTGTTTTCTTTAGGCAGAATGAAGCCAGGTTAATACTAGTTAATCATAATGTGTATAAATGTCTCACCACCACTGTATTTTGGGAGATGATATTTAAAATTGACAAATACTCTTTATACTATGTTGTAATTTTATTTTCCATAGTACTTATTATCATGCTATATACTCAATTTGTTCTTACAGATTTACTGCTGCCCAACCCTGCACATTCACTTCTATCCTTTTCTGCTTTGCTTTGACCCCCAGTTTCACAAAATGCATTGTCTGGCTTCTGTATCTCTCTTGCCTTGATGGTTGAGTCCAGAAAATTGAGAGTCACTAGAAGACTGGAGGGGGAAAGAGAGAGAGGAAGCATATTTATTTTGCCCCAGTTCTTCCCGTCATCTGACAGTGGCGGTGTTCTTCCGTAGATAACAGCTCCTGTGGGGTGATCTCCATTTCTTTTGGCTCCTGCAGGGTTCAGGTACTTTTCTACATTCTATTTGTCCCTTTAGGCTTTGTCATAGTGATAACCCCTCTCTGTTGTGGGGAATTCACTAAGCTTTGTTAACTGCCTTCATCTACGCTTTACTCTGTATGTAGTCCCTTAAACTCTCTTCAGCTAAACACTTTTGAGTGTGACTCTTTTTTTTTAATAGGGACCTTGTCTGAAATAAATTCCTTTCCATATAGTATCTGGGGAGCTCTTTTTCAAACCTAAATCAAATAAGGTCACTCCCTTATTCCAAACTCTCCGATGACCTTCCTTTCCAGTTAGAATCAAACCCAAGCTTTTTGATGAAACTTCAATGTAAACTCTTCCATTTCATCTTTTTCCAGTCTCTCCCTCTCTTACACTGTTCCAGCCACACTGGTTCTCTGTCTCCCAAGAACATGCCAAACGCATTCCTGCCTCAGGGCCTGTATACTTGCTGTTCTTTCAGCCTGGCAGACTTGTTTCCTAGGTCTTTGCATGACCGACTCTTACTATTTGTGTTTCTACTCAAGTTTCACCTTCTCCGAGAGACCTTCATTGATCAGCTTATCTAAGTCACATTTAATATCCTATTACCTTCAATATTCTTTCCAGCGGAGTCAACAATCCTAGCAGGATTGTTTTCTGTTTTGAGATACCATCCCTCTGTCTAAAGCCTAACAGGCTTTGCCCATATGGACTCTCTCAGGAGCATGGCCATGGTATCTCTGCAGAGTGAGACATGCTACCTTTCAACTTCCTGTTTGAAGCTCAATTTCTACCCCTAGCTACAAGAGACTCCTAAACCCCTTACCTTCTCAGACACACTAAACATCATGTAGACTGCTGTGTGCATCCTGTCTTTCAACAACAGAGTGGTCCAGCCTCCTTCGCACATATCCATTGCATACTTACCCCAAAGTTGCTGAGGGTACGCCATTGTCCTAAAACATAATCTCATTAGGCAATGGGTGAGAAAATATCACCTTAGCAAAAGATATCCGTGAAATATTGGTTACTGATTCTCATTCCAGATGGAACTGAGCCCTCCTCAGTGGCTTCTAAAAATCTCAGTGGCTTGTAGGGCAGTCGTTAAGCATCTTTTGTAGGTGTAAGGAGGAGTTGGGCTGAACTGGTGGTTTTGAAACACTCTCTTGCCACACCAAATGTAGCAGAATTACTTTTAAAAAATCAGATAACTTTTTTCCTTGGGGAAATTCTCCTCTAGAATATCTCTTGTTGAATAAAATATTCTTTGATGTTGGAAATGTCCTATATCTGCGCTGCTCAATGAAGGAACCATGAACATGCATGGCTATTGAGCATTTGTAGTGTGCATAGTATAGTGAGCTACTGAATTTTAAATTTTATTCAAATTTAAGTAATTTTAAGTTAAAAAAATAAGATGAGGCTAGTGGCTACCATATTAGACAGCACAGCTCTTGAATCTTCCTACCAATACACTACAGCCCAAGTACAAAATTTTGCACTTTATGAGATATGATCCAATGAGGGACTGGTGAGACTCAGAATTATTCTGGAAAGGTTCTATACATAAACAAGGTACTAATTTGTAAGGGGTGTTGCTTCTTTGTCTGTTCATTCTGGAAATCATACTGAATAGAGCCAAACAATGTATTTCAAGTGTTAATTACCAATCACTTCTGTATATGGTGTTGATAAAATCTGTAGTCAGTATGGCTCAGGAATTCTCTGACATGCTTTGAGTCTACACTGACAATTCCTCTCAACTAAATCTCACGCTAATTCTTCTCCAGTACTCATAATTGCTGAAAAGTCAGCATCAGTTCTGACAAATCCAAACTTGTTATCTCTTTTTGACATTGCTCAAAATCCATCCATTAAAATACAGAGCCAGCTCATTGGACACACCAGTAGCTTTCCAGATTGCTGCTTTCTCCTCCAGCAGAGCTGGGCCTATGTTTTTGCAACCATGTCTAAGGGCCTTGCAGTTGGCATTGATCTTAGCACTGCCGATTCTTGTGTGGGAGAGCACAGAAAGGTGGAAATAATTGCCAATGATCAGGGGAACTGAACCACCCCAAGCTATGTCACCTTTACTAATACCAAATGACTGATCAGTGATGCTACAAAGAACCAAGTCACAATGAATCCCACCAACACAGTTTTTGATGCCAAACAACTTAGTGGATGAAGATTTAATGATGCTGTTGTCCAGTCTAATATGAAACATTGGCCCTTCATGGTGGCAAATGATGCTGGCAGACCTAAGGTTTAAGTAGAATACAAAGGGGAGACAAAGAGTTTTTATCCAGAGGAGGTGTCATCCATGGTCCTGACAAAGAGGAAGGAAATCACAGAAGCCTGCCTTGGGAAGACTGTTACCAACGCTGTTGTCACAGTACCTGCCTACTTTAATGACTCTCAGCGTCAGGCTACCAAAGATGCTGGAACTATTGCTGTCTCAGTGTACTTAGAATCATCAGTGAAACAACTGCTGCTGCCTATGGCTTAGACAAAAAGGTTGGAGCAGAGAGAAATGTGCTGATCTTTGGTTTGGGTGGTGGCATTTTGATGTGTCAGTCCTCACTATTGAGGATGGAATCTTTGAGGTCAAATCTATAGCTGGAGATACTTGTCTGGAGAAGACATCTCCAATGGCAAGGTCAACCATTTCATTGAAGAGTTCAAGAGCAAACACAAGGAGGATATCAGGGAGAACAAGAGGGCTGTCTATTGCCTCCATACTGTTTTTGAGCTTGCTAAGCACACTCTCTCTTCCAGCACCCAAGCCAGTATTGAGATTGATTCCCTCTATGAAGGAATCAACTTCCAATTTGAAGAATTGAATGCTGACTTGTTCCGTGGCACCCTGGACCCTTATGGAGAAAGCCCTTCGGATGCCAAGATGGACAAGTCTCAGATCCATGATATTGTCTTGGTGGGTGGCTCAACCCACATCCCCAAGATTGAGAAACTTCTCCAGGACTTCTTCAATAGGAAAGAATTAAATAAGAGCATCAACCCCGGTGAGGCTCTTGCCTATGGTGCAGCTGTCCAGGTAGCCATTTTGTCTGGAGACAAATCTGAAAATGTTCAAGACTTGCTGCTGTTGGATGTCACTCCTCTTTCCCTTGGAACTGAAACCGCTGGTGGAGTCGTGACTGTCCTCAAGCACAATGCCACCATTCCTACAAAGCAGACGCAGACTTTCACCACCTACTCTGACAACCAGCCTGGTGTACTCATTCAGGTTTATGTAGGTGAGCAAACCATGACCACGGAGAACAACTTGCCTGATAAATTTGAACTCACAGGCATACCTCCTGCCCCCTGTGGTGTTCCTCAGATGTAAGTCACTTTTGATATTGATGCCAATGGCATTCTCAATGTCTCTGCTGTGGATAAGAGCATAGGATAAGAGAACAAGGTTACCATCACTAATGACAAGGGCCATTTGAGCAAGGATGACATTGAACAGATGGTTCAAGAAGCAGAGAAGTACAAAGCTGAAGATGAGAAGCAGCGGGATAAGGAGTCTTCCAAGAATCTGCTTGAATCCTATGCCTTCAACATGAAAGCTACTGTTGAGGATGAGAAACTTCAGGTTAAGATTAATGATGAGGACAAACAAGATTCTTGAGAAGTGTAACGAAATAATCAACTGGCTGGATAAGAACCAGACTGCAGAGAAGGAAGAATTTGAACATCAGCAGGAGTTGGAAAAATTCTACAACCCCATCATTACCAAGCTATACCAGAGCATAGGAGGCATGCCTAGGGGAATGCCAGGAGGGATGCCTGGGGCTTCCCTGGTGATGGAGCTCCTCCATCAGGTGGTGCCTTCTCTGGGCCCACCACTGAAGAGGTTGATTAAGCCAGCCTATCATAGATATAGCATTGTTCCACACAAAACATGGAAGGACCCAAATTTGTAGCAAATCCCATGGCAGTTACAAAGTTGAGCTTCTATAGCAAATAACTGGGCTTTCTTGATACTTGAACACGGAATGTGTGTGCACATGGAAAAACATTGCACTCTACAAGCACTGTATTGTAAGAGAAAAAATTCAATGTCTTAAATAAAACTGTATTTAAAATTGGAAAAAAAAAGGTACAGAGTCACTCTGCATTGGCTAGAGGATTGTGTTAACGATATTCCGAAGCTCTAGCTAACTCTGTTTTTCTCTCTTAAAGTTGTGTAAATGCTGGTCTCTGGCTCCTTTCCAGTGTCAATGGGTTCTGCTTGTGTAATCTGTTAAACTTTCCCTTGGTGTCCTTTAAGAAGCAGATATTAAGATGGGATTAAACATTTAAGGGTTGTCTTAGGAGAAAGTACCCATGTGAAAGGAAATATGGAGGTTCCCAGCGGAAGCTGGGGGATGCCTCTGACCACCTGGCCAGTCTAACCCAGAGGGAAGGAGAGGGGGAGAGAATGTTGGGTGGTTGCTTAGTCACTCAGCTGTGTCCGACTCTCTTCGAACCCATGGACTGCAGAACGCCAGGCTTCCCTGTCCTTCACTATCTCCCAGAGTTTGCTCAAACTCATGTCCATTGAGTCGATGATGCCATCCAACCATCTCATCCTCTGTTGCCCCTTCTCCTCCTGCCCCCAATTTTTCCCAGCATCAGGGTCTTTTCCAATGGGTAGGGTCTTTTCCAATGGGTTGGCTCTTCACATCAGGTGGCCAAAGTATTGGAGCTTCAGCATCAGTCCTTCCAGTGAATATTCAGGGTTGATTTCCTTTAGGATTGACGGGGTCGATCTCCTTGCTGTTGGGTGGAGGGCCACACCGTTCCAGCAAAGCCGTCAGGGAACCCCCCCAGATGAAGTTGGCCAACTGAAGTCTCATGTCTCTCTGGAAAGGGACCTGCCTCAGCGTCACTGCTGTACTTAGTATTGTTTCAGTGGCTGGAACAGCTTGTGGTAATGGCATCCTGAAAGCAAACTCTGGATTTCTAAGCTGGGGCTCCTGGTCAGTTACACTGTCTGTTGTTAGAAGGAAGGCAGAGCACATCTTCATGGCCCCCACACCTCATACATTTCTGCTTAAGTTATGATGGATAGACAAGAAAATGAAAGATGAAAGACAGCATGGCTGGAAAATAAAATATCTGAATAATACATAGAGCTCTTTCCCTCATTACTCAGAATTATCCCCGCTAATCCTCTAAGGTTAATTCTAATTCTTCTCTATCAAATGTTTCTACTGACAGCAGAACTGGAGTTAGAGGCTACCTTCTTATAACTTTTCTGGGCTGTCCAGTTAAAATGTTAACCTACCCATTTACAAATGGTCACACAAGGATTTGGCCAAGCAGAGCTACATTAGTAATGCTTGGGGGTAGAAAAATTGGATCAATATAGTTATCTAATTTTAGTTCTTTATTTCCAGAATATACCAAAGATTAGATTTTCTTTCTTTGTGTCCTATTTGCAAGCTACTGTTGGACTTCCCCAATGGTTCAGCAATAAAGAATCTGCCTGCAATACAGGCTCAACACAGGTTTGATCCCTGGTCCGGGGAGATCCCCTGGAGGAGCAAATGGCAACCCACTCCAGTATTTTTGTCTGGAGAATTCTGTGGACAGAGGAGCCTGGCAGACTCCATGGGGGTCCCAAAGAGTCAGACATAGCTGAGCAGGCATAGTACAGTGTTATCAATTTAGCTACAGTTTGGGGTCTATGTAGGGACCTGATAAATGATACACTGCATCCTCATGTTTCAGAATAATGGTGAACTAAGAAAAAAATTATCAATAGGTAGAGGCCAAAAATTATGCCCTTAATTACTGATTTAACTGCTATTGGAAATTGGACTTGTATCTGTGGACAAGTTGGCTCTCAAATGCTGAATCTAGAATGAGGAGGTTCATGTGTTTAGCACTGTCTGCACTAGAATGAAGCAGGCATCCTCTTCTCCAAGTCCAGATCCCAGCCAGACTGTAGAGGAAAATGAGCTTGTGGCTTCTGCAAGCTTTCACAGTTTCTTTCCCAAATTCACCCATCAGGTTAGCTCACTCCTCTTCTGGGACTGTATGAGTGAAGGAAGCGGAGAGAGGTCAGGAGTATTAAAAAAAAACGGAAAGATCAGCAATGGGGAAGATGCATACCCTCCCTAACACACAAGACACCATACCAAAATGACACATATCAGGAAGTCCACAGGCTCAGTGACAAAGCAGAGGCCAGTGTTCCCTTATTCTGGGGAAGACTTAACATGGCCTTGAAAATTCTGATATCTCTAATAGTTACATTTGTATGCCATCTTCTGTCTAAATTTTTGAAAAATATGTTTTTCCTTTCTGTGTTGGCTCAAAATTTGGGGTCAGAGTATTTTAAAAGAATTTCATGAACTGTATGACTTCTTTCTTACTGAAAATATATACACACTCAATTTCTCCCCTAGTGATTAAAAAAGATGTTGGATTTCTTTCTTGACTCAAAACTTCAGGTCTCTTTTCTGCACTATTTTTATTTTGCATTCATACACAAGCGTGCACGCGCGCACACACACACACGTAGGACTTTAGGGCCTAAAGTCCTTTACTTTCATTTCTGTTTTTCTTAAGCTCACTTGAGATGAGCCCAAATCACTATAATCCTGACTTTTGAACTTGGGGAGCTTATGTGAAATGGTCCATAAACTCATTCTAAGAAAAGGTTACTTAATGCCATTTCTGTATTATGGTGGAATTAAATTCTCCTTCTCAAACTCCCTGTTAGCGTTATCTTCCTCAGATCAGAAGCTCAACCTGAATTTTATGGATTTGGGGAAAAATTATAGTAATTGACTCAGTCTCTGTTGTGAGCTAGTCTAATGCACGGAGTAGGAACTTAGGCATTGGAGTCAGGCAGAGCTGTACTTGTATCTAGCTCTTTGACCTTGTCCATGCTGTTAGACTTCTCTGGGACCTAAGTTCTCCCTAAAAATGAGGACAATGATAGCACCTATGTCACAAAGCTATGGTGAGGATTAGAGGAGATAATGTATGTAAAGCATTTAGATTGGGGCCTAGACAAAATCAGCAACCAATAAGAATAAGCTATTCTTATTACTATTATTATTTTATTGAACTTTGTATTAATAGCATCTGCCACAATTGTTAACACAGAGTAAATGCTCAAGAACTATTTACTAAACAAATGACTAAGACAAGTCTAGTTATTTTATTCTTCCTGTGCTCAAGAGTAATGGTTCTTTCTATAGTTTGTCATTGACTCTTTCTGTGACCAACAGAATCTTGTCTAAAGGTATGATACTAAAAACTGTGGTATATCCAACTGTTCCTCCATTAAGAACATATCTTAGGAAATTCTCTTTAGGATAAACCAAAATGTTTCCACTCAGTGAATATACTTACTAAGACCTTCTTTACAAAGAGGATTCTGAATCTGTCTGTTTAAGTAGACCCTTTTCAAGAACTGTTGCAATTCTTTGGGAGTCAAATTCAGACTAACTTAGAAGTGACCTGAGAGGGAGAAATAGCCTACCTAGAATCATTTGCTCTTTTGTCCACTTTTACAAATATATTTATGTCTATTGAGAGAAATAGGCATAGATATAGATGTTTTGAGATCAACTTTCATTATTCCATGGATTTCATGTAATTTTCAGCAAATCTCCCATCATCCTTCCCCCTCCGCATCAGGACAACTCCCAAAATTTTCATATCAGGAATCAGATTAAATGAATGTTTGTTTAAAAAGTGCTTCATTACTTTCGTGTTCTCTCAGAATTTCCCTCCTCTGCCTTGCTGGACAGATAGAATCTTATGAGGATGTCAGCTTGCCAAATAATTGAGATTCTTTTCAGTAATATAGACCCAAATCAAAAACATTCCTGAAGACTGGTACATTTACAAGTGTTATTGCTTATACAGATGTGTGGTGGAATGGAATAAAATGTTAGGTATGACAACAACAAATTATAGAAATATGAGGCTTGCCTTCAGGCATATGAATATATACATGAGGAAAGGAATACTTTGGTGGGAATTATAACTAAGGATGTGGGATCTTTGAAACAATGTTTAGGAACAGAAGATTCCAAGTTAAAATCAAGGGAACCAGTCAATACATATTTCTTGAGCACTAATTATATGCCAGTCACAGAGGATACAGCTGTGAATGAGACACTCAGAGTCCTAGCCTGGACTTATAGCCAGATGCAAAAGACAGACATTAACTAAACAAATAATTCAGGAGGGCCCGGGGCATTGAGGAAGTGCAGGGTCTTGCTGAATTTACGGTAAGTGTAGATTGAGGAGGAGAGGGGCTTTAGCTAGTCTGGGAGGTTAAGGAAGATTTCTCTCTCAAGGAAAAGATGCTTAAAGCAAGGCGTCAAGCCTAGAGAAGTTGCTCTGTTGAGGCAAAGGGAACAGCATGAACAAACATCTATGCAGAGTTGGGAAGACCCAGGGTATCAGTGTCCTAGGGCTGCCATGACAAAAAACTGTGTGGCTTAAACAACAGAAAGGTACTGTCTCGGTTCTGCAGATCAGGTATTGGCATTATTAGCTCGTCCTGAGAGCTGTCTCCCTTAGCTTCTGGCGATTTGCTGGCAATCTCTGCTGTTCTTTCGCTTGTAGAAGTATGACTCCCGTGTCTGTGTTTCTCTTCACATGGTGTCCTCACTGTAT